ATCCACAGTTATTGAAATGTGTTACTTAAAAACTCGGAGTAACTTATAGTAACCATTTCCCCATAAACCAAAAATTTATTTCCACTATATTTTTCCTTGACTAAGAATAACATCATTAAACTTCTACCATCGATCGATAACAATGACAAACTTGCCATCCGTAGGAGAGCAAAGGTCAAGAACAAAAACATGAGAAACCATAAAATTCTTTCTTAAAAAAATTAATTTAATAAGTTCATATCAGGCCGTCAATTAAGAAAAGTATCAAAAGTAATATCTAGTCCGCGAGCTATGATATAGCTTATGGGTTGAGCCTAACATACTCATTTATTTCAATTTAAATCATAATTAATTTTTAAATTTTAAATTATACTATCATGAAATTATAATAAAAATAAATTATATATCGATCATTTTCATATCGAGATAAAATAATATATTAAAATATTTTTAATTTATCTTTTAAATATTATTAATATAAAATAATATCAATTAGTCCTTAATTAACTTGAATCCTAATTCAATCGATCTAATTGAATTGGATTTAATTATAACCTAGTCGAATCGATCATTAATTCTTATTTAATTGATCTAAAACTATCTTAGACTTAATATATTTTAGATTATATTAAGTTTAATTTATGTTAAATAGATTTAAATTAATTAAATTAATTTAGAGTCACCTTCAATCGATTTAAATTTATCAAATTAGATTTTGCTCAATTCGAACACAAATAAAATAAAGTAAAGATAATAAGTTAGATTGTATAGTAATATGATATGTTAATTTAGTCGATGTACTTATTGTATATGACTATGCATATATCATACCTAACTCATAGCCCAAGAACTAATCATTTGCACTACACATCAATGTTGAGTCGGATTGAATGACTAACTAGGCTTAGCCAGTTGAGTCAAATCTATGGGTTGTAGTTTAGCATGTGGGTAGAGCCTGATTTACTAAACGAATTTCAACCAAAATCATAATATTTTTTTTAATTTTAAATTATAACATCATTAAATTATAATAAAAATCTCAAACTATTGCAATTGAGTCATTAAAACATAATAAATAGTAATATATTAAAAATATATAATTGCATTAAAGGGAAAATAATATTTTTACTCAACTATTAGATAAATCTAATAAAAATTGAATATTACAACTAGTATAATGCATGCAAGATAAAAATTTTCAAAATTATTATAGTAAGAATAATTATAATATATTAAATCTAAAAATAAAATTTTAAATATTTGGATGAATATAATAAAATTTTAGAAACTATATATAGCATGAATAATAAAAAAAATAAAAAATATTAATTTTTAAAAAAATATAGAAACGCCTAACTCTAGTGAAAAACGCACCCCTATTAAATAAAAAGAGTCGAGCCTTCCAAGGTAATTAATATTTTAAATTTATTTAATTATTTAATAAAAATAATATCACTTAACTTAAAATATTGAATATTTATTTTATAAATTTTATTCATAAGAAAAGAAAGTAAATAATTGTACTTAAACTGAAATATTTAAGCACAGATGAAACCTGTCAAATTAGTATTTTAAGATCATTTTATCCATATTTTTTATATAAATAATTTATTCGTATAATTTTGTTTTTCTTGTGCATAGGGAAGGTTATACACACTACGTATAAGGAGAGTGGTTGTAATTAGGGCGCCGCTGCGGCTGCACTCTTGTCCCACAATGGCTGCTGCTCCGCTCCGCTCCGTACTCCAACGCCGCAATGGCCTTCTGCCCTTATTCGAAACCTGCCGCCTTCGAGATCTCCTGTTCTTCTCCTCCTCTGTCGACCCTGCCGCCGCCGTAGGCGGCACCATATCTCCAGATCCCCACTTCATGGTGGAATACCTCATGAACTCTTGCGGGTTCTCCCCCTCCGAGGCAGCCAAGTTCTCTAAACCTCTTGCGCACCTCCGATCCACCGAGAAACCCGACGCCGTCCTTAACTTCATGAGATCTCAGGGCCTCGGTGGCGCCGCTATCAGGAAGGTGATATCTTCGGAACCCAATTACCTGTGCCACAACGTGGAGACGAACATCGCCCCGAAGTTTCAGTTCTTACGTGATTCGGGCCTATCGGAGTCGGATATCGTCGATGTCATCCTGAAGAACGTTGTTATTCTGCACCTCCACGTTCACCGTTCCTTGGTCCCCAAATTGGAGATGTGGGAAAGTCTCTTGGGATCGAGAGAGCTCGTTCTCAAGCATCTCAAGAAGACCCGATGGTTTTTCTTCTCCAGCGTTGAGAAGAAATTGCATCCTAACCTAAAGTTCTTGAGGGATGAGTGCGGCATTCCTGAAGAAAGGGTCTCTGTCGTCTTGAGAAGTCACCCACAATTAATCTCACAGAAACCAGAGTCACTCCGAGCTTTGGTTGCGAGAGCCGATGAGCTGGGGATGCCACGGCAATCTCGGATGTTCATGTGGACACTTGTTGTTTTCCACAACGTAAGCCAAGAAAGGTTCGAGGCCAAGGTCGAGCTCATGAGGAGCTTCGGGTGGTCGGAGTCGGAGTTTTCTTCTGCTGTCAGGAAAGCACCCACCTTCATAGGCATGTCCCTCGATATGTTGCGCAGAAAAGTGGAATTTTTTATCAGTGTGGTCGGTTACACCCCTTCCTTCATCGCCTCCCAACCAACTATCTTGCTATATGGTCTGCAGAAGAGGGTAATTCCTCGGTTTCGTGTTTTGGAGATGTTGAATACGAAAGGCTTGGGGACTCGACGAGGCAAGTTTTTGTACTATGTGAAATTATCAAATACAAAATTCCGGGAGAAGATTGTTCTACCTTACAAAGAAAATGTTCCTGAGCTTCTTGATATTTTGAGAGCAGGTGAGTGTGAAGGGAAATGAGCCCTTTTATTTGGTATCAGAAGAGGATGAGAAGGGCTTAGCTGATGGTCTAACTCACATTTGAATTTCTCAACAGGAGCTGAGCAGTGATTCGGCACCTTTTTCCTTGACAACAAGCTGTCTTACATCAACCACTAGCCTTGGCTACTGAGTTGCAGTCCAGTGAAAGAATTATTCCTTTGGTGTCATATGGTAGTAATGTTGTAATTGGAAGGTCTATGCAGTGCCCAACACAAAATGTCTTCCAGTTTTACTCACTAAGGTTCATGAAAAAGTCTGTTCTTTGTTGCAAAGCAGAAGTCCCTGGCCTGTTTGAAATCTCTGATAGATGAAGGTAGATTATTCCCCTAGTTTGAGATTCTGGAAATAGAATGCAAATGGCTTCTCTAAAAGTCTATTGAGGTGTGAGATTCTTCTTATGTGACAAGCTAGTTTAGCATTGATTATAAACCAACTTTGTTTGTATGTGACAATGCAAATGGCACAGTATTGTTGGTTTGTATGTGAACTGCAGGTTTTAGAAATTCTGCTTAGCAGTCCAACGGAGATTATTTTGGATCTTAGGAACATTTGGATTCTGTTTAAGTTGATTCTGAACGGGTATTTGGATTCTGACAAATGTAATTCCGGATCGGTTATTGGTTGTTGGGTGAGTGTGAAAGAGCCATGTTTCAGATTAAGTTATGCAGTATGTATACACCACCAAAGATGACGAGAAGTTAAATGGAGTAGTACTTGCTCTGATGATTTTAGTAGCTGAAAAAAATTTAAACCCCAAAGTGTTGTTTCTATAATTTGTTGTAGGTGAGTTTTCATCTTGTCAGTTGAGTTTCTATGCAAACTTGCTCGTGTGCTAATTGGAAGATTTCATTTATGTTTCTGTTATGTATTGTGATATTTGCATGCAGGGGCCTCAATGGAATTTGGAAGACCAGTTTTTGTGTTGATCAGGATTACCATTGGCTTGGTACTCACCCATTTCTTTTGCATGTAAGAAGGTGTCACTTTGCTTGCAGGTTGAATGGACTTCAGAGAATCAAAACTTGTGTATGTTATACTGAAATGCCTTCATCCTCATTGGAATTGTTGAGTATGCTATCCTGAAATGTCTTCAGTCTCACTGGAATTGTAGAGTTTGCTATCCTGAAATGTCTTCAGCCTCATTGGAATTGTTGCCCAGGCATTTCCTGCATCACAACAAACTCTAACATGCAAACTAATTTATACGCCTAAACATTTTAAAATTGACAACAAAATGTGAATTTCAAATCTCTGTAATTGTCTTTAGGATTTCTTTTAGAGTTAATGATCATTGCATCATAAGGTTTTATGTCCCGCATTTAGTGCAGAAATGACTACTTATGATTGTGCAAACTATCCTTACCCATTCTCAGCTACTCTTGTTTCGGCCTCTCCATGCAATTGTGCATATTTTTAATATCACAATTCAGATAAGATCATAAGAATATTGATCATCTTTCTCATATGTAAAATGTTTTCGGAATCTTGATATCAGCTGTTCATCTTTTGCAGCGAATTTTGTGTAGCTGTGCATGAATTGTGGAACTGATAGAACAAACAAGTGCATCAAGAATATTGGAAGGTATGCGAAAACTGCTTTTCTAATTACATTCTTGTTCCTGCCATGCTTGTTTGTAGTGCTATAGAGTATGCTATGAATCTTGTCTCTTGCAAGCAATCATTGGAATTGGTTCTTGGATTCTTGTTCATAGTTTTTGTTTAATTTTTGAGTGTGTTAGTTTATTTAATCTGTTGCGAGTTTGGTATAACAAGGTTTCAAAATCATTTGGTTATTATCTCAATTCTCAATGGGCATATCGAGACCCATAATCGGCCTAAATTGGGCTTTCCCATTGTGTAGACTTGCTCAATATTTTCTTACTTTTGTTCGTAAGGCCCAATTGAACCCATTACGGACCGTATGCAGCCCGTTTCTCGTGCGTACACTCAACTGTGTATCTTACTTTCTTTAAATGTTTGTTATAGATTGCTCCTCATGCAATCAGGTAAGTGTGATTTCTGTGAATTCTTCATCAAGTCTGCTGGTTTTTCTTCTTTCTTCCAATTGTAAGTTATGTATCTGTTTTCATTACACAACTATGTGTAAGCATAATATAGATTGGAAGTTAAATATCTCTTGCAATGGATGCTAATATGTTACATAAATGTAGTTAAATCCTTTGGGTCTCAATGACATTACAAAAGGCTTGTTGTAAGTGCAATGCCTTTTGTGCCATGGTGCAGGTGGGAGCTAAGCACAATGATAATATCTATATTAAGATAAAGTGGATGAGACAAATGTGAATTTTGTTGCTGGATATTTCATGGTGGTCTAATCATAAGTGACAGAAGATTGGATGAAAGAAACAGATTAAGATTTGAGCCTATGAGTGATAAAAGGAATTAGTAAATGATCTCTCTCATGGATTGCGTCAGATATCGAATTTATTTTGTGTCTAAGTCCTCATCATTATTCCGACATTTTTTTTTGTAATCAATGATGATTGTGGTTAACTATTTAACTCTATATGTGTAAAAGAATATATATATATATATATTAGCATTTATCTCTATATCCCTTGCTCCAAGATCCTAGCTCCAAAATAAATTGGATTGTTGGATTGATAATAATAATAATAGTCTAAAATAATAATTATAGAAGATTGGATTTTGGAAATAATTATTACATAAGTAATTGGGAGGCAGTCAACCTCATTCCTTTCATGTTGTAGAACAGACCACTTCAAAACCATTAAGAAGCTTCATGTGTAAGAATCTTCATATAAAGTCTAACGTGCAAACTAACATGTAAGATCAAAACGTTTAGAAGTGACAATTAAATGTGTATTTCAAGATTCGTTAATTACCTTTTGCTCTTGTAGTATAGTTTATGATCATTTGCATCACTAGTATTTCAGATTTATGCACACTATCTTCACTCATTCCCAACTCGATTTTTTTCTGCCTAGCCATGTCTGATATGCGTTTTATATTTTGATATCAGTTGTTCCGTCTTTGCTGTGCAGGAGTTGTAGAACTGATAGAACTTGCAAGTTCATCAACAATATTGGGAAGATACTCTTTTTTCTTTATGACTGAACAATAACGTCCCAATTCTTTTTGTCAACACACGTATGTCTCAATTTTGGGAAGACTGACATTATTGAAATGAATATATGGAAGGAAGTGAGAAAAGTAGAATTCATGAATTTAAATAAGACAAGTAATCTAAGCAAAATCGTGCACTTATTTCATGTTAATGAACCAATGCAATGTGAACATAAAGCATAAAAGGATAGGATACTTTCGGATGCTCAGGAAGTTGGCATGTATAGATTGATTGTCTCCAGATTGAAAATGTGGCCTGCTATAATTAACAGGTGTTGTGATATATATATATATATATATATATCTTTGCATCGATTCTTGGATAATCTGTTCTTTTTTTACATGAGGATCATCGATAATAGTCGATCGGCGAGGATTGCTAATGTTTGGATTGTCAAACAAACGATAAGATAGTGGAGGATAATTGATGAGGTAAAAATATAATGAAACGCATATAAAAGTACAGTAAAAAGCGATGATCGATAGAAGAAAATTGAATATTAAAAAAATTATTTTTTTTAATTTAGGCAGTATCATAAGAAAATTTGAATGTAGAAGTTTTTTTTAAAAAAGAATTCGTCGGATGATCAAATCACTTTTCTCATGTAAAGCGTGTTTTCTTATGGAGAGACAAAATTATATAAATATTTTGTCGATCACTTTATCCATATTTGTGATATAAATACATTATTCCTGCAGTTTTGTATTTCTTGTGCATAGCGAAGCTTATACACACTATATATAGGAATTAGGGTACCCCTTTCAGGTCATTTTCCTCTCCCACGATGGCGGCTGCGACGCTGCGCTCCGTACTCCGCCGCAATCGCCTCCTTCCCTTGTTCGAAACCTGCCGCCTTCGAGATCGCCTCTTCTTCTCCTCCTCTGTCGACGCTGCCGCCGTCACCGTAGGCGGCACCATGTCTCCAGATCCCCACTTCATGGTGGAATACCTCGTGAACTCCTGCGGGTTCTCCTCCTCCGAGGCAGCCAAGTTCTCTAAATCCCTTGCGCACCTCCGATCCACCGAGAAACCCGACGACGTCCTTAACTTCATGAGATCTCAGGGCTTCGACGGCGCCGGTATCAGGAAGGTGATATCTGCGGATCCCAGATACTTATGCTACAACGTGGAGAAGAACCTCGCCCCGAAGTTTCAGTTCTTACGCGATTTGGGCCTATCAGAGTCGGATATCGTCGATGCCATCCTGAAGAACAATGGCATCCTCCACTACAACGTTCACCGTTACTTGGTCCCCAAATTGGAGATGTGGGAAAGTCTCTTGGGATCGAGAGAGCTCGTTCTCAAGCATCTCAAGAAGACCCGATGGTTTTTCTCCTCCAGCGTTGAGAAGACGTTGCATCCTAACCTAAAGTTCTTGAGGGATGAGTGCGGCATTCCTGAAGAAAGGCTCTCTCTCGTCTTGAGAAGTCACCCAAAATTAATCTCACAGAAACCAGAGTCTCTCCGAGCTTTGGTTGCGAGAGCCGATGAGCTGGGGATGCCACGGCAATCTCGGATGTTCGTGCGGACACTTGTTGCTCTCCACAACGTAAGCCAAGAAAGGTTCGAGGCCAAGGTCGAGCTCATGAGGAGCTTCGGGTGGTCGGAGTCGGAGTTTTCTTCTGCAGTCAGGAAAGCACCCACCTTCTTAGGCATCTCCCTCGATATGTTTCGCAGAAAAGTGGAATTTTTTATCAATGTGGTCGGTTACACCCCTTCCTTCATCGCCTCCCAACCATCTATCTTGCTATTTAGTCTGCAGAAGAGGGTAATTCTTCGGTTTCGTGTCACAGAGATGTTGAAATCGAAAGGATTGTGGACTGGACAAGCCAAGTTTCCATACATTCTCGCATTATCAGATACCAAATTCTTGGAGAAGTTTGTTCTCCCTCACGAAGAAAATGTTCCTGAGCTGCTCGATATTTTGAGAGTTGATGGCGTGTGTAAAGGAAAATGATACCTTTCATTTGGTATCGGAGGCTGAGAAAGGGCTTAGCTGATGGTCTAATTTGCCAACAAAGGTAGATTATTCCCCTAATTTGATATTTGGGAATTTTCTGAAAAGGGCTTATCTAAAGGTCCATTTAGGTGTGGGATTTTTCTTTTATGACAAGCTAGGTAGATTAACATTGATTATAAATCAAATTTTTTCTGTCTTGCTGATTGCCTTTGGCATAGTATTGTTGGTTTGTCTGTAAACTGAATGTTTTAGAAATTCTACATGACTGTCCAACTGAGATGACCTTTGGATCTATTGTGGGGACTTTTGGATTTTGTCCAAATTAATTTCAATTCTGGATTGGTTTTTGTTTGGGTAAGTCCTGATGAGTCATGTTTCAGATCAAGTTATGCAGTATATAGAAAATATCACCAAAGATCACAAGAAATTGTTGAGTGGTAATTACTCTAATGATTTAACTGGCTGAAAAAAACTTAAACACCAAAGAGTTGTTTCTGTAATTTGATTTTAAATGAGTCATCACCCAATTTATGGATTTGGATATATCTAAGGTGTTATCTCTTGTCAGTGGAGGCTTCTTTGCAAACTTATTTATTTATGAACTAATTGGAATATTCAAATTTGATTTATGCATTGTAATATTAGTATGCAGTGGCTTCAATGGGATTTGAAAGACCAGTTGCACTGGGTTGATAAGGAGTCACCAGCTTTAGTGCTAACTATGCTCTCATCATCATAGCTGATGCTTCTGCTGTCCACCCTTTGTGATTCCAGGTGCAGATCTCTTCATTCTTGGAGTTCATTCTTGGATTTGGTGGATGCAACTTCTCATCATCATAGCTGAAGCTTCTGGTCTACTTGAAAGCCTTCAGAAGGCTGCACAACTAAATTTCTCCAACATCTGAATCGAACTAATTCCCTTGAGTTAGTCGATTCGCTGGTTCCTTCTTTTATTTCTTTGTTCAAGTCTTTATGTTGTCGATGTGGTCCATGTTTCCCGCATCATGAAAGGCGTGGGCCATTGGCTAGTCAATCTTGGAAGGACTGTAAATTCTGTCTTTTTGGTTCTTGTAATAATAGATCAATCTAGCTCGGTATCTAATCCACTTTAATCTTTAATGAAATTTCTCTTTTTTCGGTAAAAAAAGAAAAAAAACAAACTCTAACATGCAAACTAACATGTAAGCTCAGAAGGCTTAAAAGTGACAATTAAATGTGTATTGCAAGATTCTGTAATTGGCTTTAGTTGTTGTTGTAGAGTTTATGATCATTTACATCACTAGTATTTCTGATTTTTATGCACACTATCTTGACCCGTTCTCAACCAGTATTTTTCTGGCTATCGATGCCTTTTGTGCATGTATTCAGTATCTCATTTCAGATAGGGTCATAAGATCATCACTCATCTTTATCAATGCGTGGATTGTGTTATTGATTTTGATATCAGTTGTTCCATCTTTATTCTTTGTCTTGGATAATAACGTCCCAAATCGTTATGTCAACTCAAGTCTCAATTTTGGTCAGACAGACATTAATGAAATGATTATATGGAAGGAACTTAGAAAAGTAGAATTCATAAATTTAAATAAGACGAGGAATCAAAGCAAAATTATGCACTTATATATCATGTTAATAAACCGATACAACGTGAACATACAACAACATATGCATTTTCAAACAAGGATTGGGTATTTATGGATGATCACGAAGTTGGAATGTATAGATTGATGTCTTCATATTGAAATGTGGCCTGCTATAATTAACAAGTGTTATTTTACAGATATAGTATATTGTTGTACAATCAATTTTAATTAAATATCATATTATCCATCATCAACTTCAATCGAGCTTTTTTTTTTTGAATTTTTACGAGTCATAAATACTATTCAAAGCATATTAATTTAAACACAAGAAATCATGTTTTGAACGATCATAAGATTGTTTTTTTTTTAATTCTGGTGCAACAATAAATTATTTTTGGATCAAATAAATGAATAATTTTATATCTTTATAAAGATACAAAATCATATAAATATTTTGTAGATCACTTTATCCATAATTTTGATATAAATAATTTATTACAGTAATTTTTATTCCTATGCATATCGAAGGACAACTGTTTGAATTATGATACCCGGATGCTCTCCTTTATCTAGTCACAATGCTCGGCTCCTCCTTTCACCGTGATAACCTTTTGTCATTATTCAAATCCTATCGTTCGAGGTCTCATTTTCTTTTATTTTATCGTCGATTGATTAAGATTATGTTTAGATCAAATAAGTTAACAAGAAAATGACGATTGAGTTTTGCCTAACCGTAGGTGTTGTATCGTATACCATATGAATTGAGTTATATTGAATCATATGAGTTGAATTATACTTAACTATATGAATTATGTTATACTTAGTCACATGAGTTAGGTTATGCTTGACTGCATAGATTGATTTGATCAATCAACTTACATTAAATCATTATTTTAACTCATATTATTAAATTATATCATGATATTTTTAAAAAATATTTTAAAATAATAATTAACATTAAATCTATTCTTTTTCAAGAATTAACTAATTTAGATTCATAATTTTAAATTTAAAACTAATTAAATTGTACAAATTCATACATAATTTTTTAAAACATAAATATGTCTAATTAAATAAATTATTATTATTATTAAATTAACTAATTATTTTAACATCATAATTTCATAATCATTATTTACTAATCATAATATTTTTAAAATTAAAATATTATTTTGCATCATATTAATTAAAACAATTCTACTATTAAATATTTTAAAATATAAATAAAAATGATAATAAAGAAAATAAAGAATCCTACGCGTCCTTGCAATCATGTCATCAAAATTTTTTTTTTTCTTAATCCTTCGTCCAACTTCTAAGAGGGGAGAATTACCGAGGAATAGTAGAAGATGAACTCTTCTCGATAGATAAATAATATTTTTATTTTACTTCGTACAAAAATGGATTGTAATATTAATTTTACATTGTCCACACACAAAAATAAAATTTAAAATATTTGCTTTTTAAGAATCATATCAGAAAATAAATCAATTAATAATTTAATAAATCGATGAAATTCTTAATACCTCATGATGGAATACCTCATGAACTCTAAACCCCTTCGAGGCAGCCAAGGTCTGTAAACCCCTTGCGCACCTCCGAGCCATCGAGAAACCCGACATCGTCCCTAACTTCATGAGATCTCAGGGCTTCGACAACGCTGGTATCAGGAAGGTGCTATCTTCAAGACCCAATTACTTTTGCTGCAACGTGGAGAAGATCCTCGTCCCGAAGTTTTAATTCTTACGCGATTTAGGCCTATCGGAGTCTGACATCATCGATGTCATCCGGAATAACGATGACTTCCTCTACCTCTAACCATTACCATTGTGTTATTAAAACATGATATTAACTTAAAATGTTGAATATCTATTTTATAAATTTTATTCATAAGAAAAATTTATCCATATTTTTGATATAAATAATTTATTCCTATAATTTTGTATTTCTTGTGCTTAGCGAAGGGTTATACGGACTACAGATGAAAGCGGGTTGTTTGTATTAGGGTGCCGTTGCGTCAGCTCTCTTTCGTCCCACAATGGCGGCTGCGACGCTCCGCTCCGTGCTCCGCCGCAATAGCCTCCTGCCCTTGTTCGAAACTCACCGCCTTCGAGATCTCTTCTACTTCTCCTCCTCTGTCGACCCTGCCGCCGCCGTAGGCGGCACCATATCTCCAGATCCCCACTTCATGGTGACATACCTCGTGAACTCCTGCGGGTTCTCCCCCTCCGAGGTAGCCAAGTTCTCTTAACCTCTTGCGCACCTCCGATCCACCGAGAAACCCGACGCCGTCCTTAACTTCATGAGATCTCAGGGCTTCGATGGCGCCGGTATCAGGAAGGTGATATCTGCGGATCCCAGCTACTTACGCTGCAACGTGGAGAAAAACTTGGCCCCGAAGTTTCAGTTCTTACGCGATTTGGGCCTATCGGAGTCGGATATCGTCGATGCCATCCTGAAGAACCAGGCCATCCTCCTTCACAACGTTCACCGTTCCTTCGTCCCCAAATTGGAGATGTGGGAAAGTCTCTTGTGATCGAGAGAGCTCGTTCTCAAGCATCTCAAGAAGACAACACGGTTTTTCTTCTACAGCGTTGAGAAGACATTGCATCCTAACCTAAAGTTCTTGCGGGATGAGTGCGGCATTCCTGAAGAAAGGGTCTCTGTCGTCTTGATAAGTCACCCACAATTAATCACAAATAAACCAAAGTCACTCCGAGCTTTGGTGGCGAGAGCCGATGAGCTGGGGATGCCACGGCAATCTCGGATGTTCGTGTGGACACTTGATGTTCTCCAAATGGTAAGCAAAAAAAGGTTCGAGGCCAAGTTCGAGCTCATGAGGAGCTTCGGGTGGTCGGAGTCGGAGTTTTCTTCTGCAGTCAGGAAAGCACCCACCTTCTTACGCATGTCCCTCGACATGTTGCGCAGAAAAGTGGAATTTTTTATCAATGTGGTCGGTTACACCCCTTCCTTCATCGCCGACAAATCATATCTCTTGCTATATGGTCTGCAGAAGAGGGTAATTCCTCGGTTTCGTGTGACGGAAATGTTGAAATCGAAAGGATTGTGGACTGGACAATGCAAGTTTACATCGATTCTCGTTTTCTCAGATACCAAATTCATGGAGAAGTTTGTTCTCCCACACAAAGAAAATGTTCCTGAGCTGCTTGATATTTTGAGAGTTTCTGGCACCTGTAAAGGAAATGATACCTTGCATTTGGCATCGGAGGATGAGGAAGGGCTTAGCTGATGGTCTAATTTGTGACGACGAAGGTAGATTATTTCCCTAATTTGACATTTGGGAATTTTCTGCAAAGGGCTTATCTAAAGGTCCATTGTGGTGTGGGAATTTTCTTTTATGACAAGCTAGCTAGATTAACATTGATTATAAATCAAATTTGTTCTGTCTTACTGATTGCTAGCTTAAATTATTTTCTGATTGTCTTTGGCATAGTATTGTTGCTTTGTACGTTAGCTGCATGTTTTAAAAATTCTACATAACAGTCCAACTGAGATTACCTTTGGATCTATCGAAGGGACTTTTGGCTTTTGTCCAAATTAATTCCAATTCCAGATTGGTTTTTGTTTGGGTAAGTCTTGGAGAGTCATATTTCAGATCAAGTTATGCAGCAAGTATATACAAAATATCACCAAAGATCACAGGAAGTTGCTGAGTAGTAGTTGCTCTAACGATTTAAGTGGCTGAAAAACACTTAAACTTCTTTGCAAACTTATGTATTTATGTACTAATTGGATTATTCAAATTTGATTGATGCATTGTAATATTAGTATGCAGTGGCTTCAATGGAATTTGAAAGACCAGTTGCACTGGGTTGATCAGGAGTCACCAGCTCTTCTGAAATGTCTTCAACCTCCTTTGGAATTGCTAAAGCTTTTCTCGCATCAACAAACTCTTGCATGCCTCCATAGGCTTCTGCTCGTCCACCCTTTGTGATTCCAGCAGCAGATCTCTTCATTCTTGGAGTTCATCCTTGGATTTGGTGGATGCAACTTCTCATCATCATAGTTGAAGCTTCTGCTCTACTCGAAAGCTTTCGGAAGGCTGCACAACTAAATTTCTCCAACATCTGAATCGAACTAATTGCCTTGAGTAGTCGATTCGCTGGTTCCTTAAGAATATTTTGGATATCATTTTATTTCTTATTTCAAGTCTTTATGTCGTCGATGTGGTCCATGTTTCCCGCATCATGGACCGCGTGGCCCATTGGCTAGTCAATTTCAGAAGGACTGTAAATTCTCTTTGTTTTTTTGGGTCTTGTAATTATAGATCAGTCTAGCTCAGTATCTAATCCACTTTAATCTTTAATGAAATTTCTCTATTTTCGGTAAAAAAAACAGAAACTCTAACATGCAAACTAACATGTAAGATCAGAAGGTTTAAAAGTGACAATTAAATGTGTATTGCAAGATTCTGTAATTGGCTTTAGTTCTTGTTGTAGAGTTTATGATCATTTAAATAAGACAAGTAGTCAAAGCAAAATTATGCACTTATATCATGTTAGTGAACATACAACAACATGCGTATTTTCAAACAAAGTATAGGGTATTTATGGATGATCACGTAGTTGGGATGTATATATTGATGTCTTCAGATTGAAATGTGGCCTGCTATAATTAACAAGTGTCTTGTTACAGATATAGTATATTGTTGTACAATTAATTTTAATTAAATATCATATAATCCATGATCAACTTCAATCGAGCAATTTTTTTTTAAATATTTACGAGTCATAAATACTATTCAAGGCATATTAATTTAAACACAAGAAATCAAGTTTTGAAGGATCATAAGATTGTTTTTTTTTCAAATCTGGTGTAGCAATAGATTATTTTTGGATCAAATAAATGAATAATTTTATGTTTTTTAAAGATACAAAATCATATAAATATTTTGTAGATTACTTTATCCATAATTTTGATATAAATAATTTATTCCTATAATTTTAATCTTTCGTGCATAGCGAATGATAGTTGTTGAAATTATGATGCTCTTGTGACTCTCCTTTATTTAAAATGATTGTTGTAGACTTCCTATCCCTTTTTGAAACCTATGGCTTTTGAGGTCTTTTTTTTTTTACTTCATCACCGATTGATTATGATCATGTTCTATCAAATTAGCTGAAAATATAAGGATGATTGAGGATGAACTCAACGTTTAAGAAGAAGATGATGAATTGCATCATGGAACTACGACTCAAATGCGTCTCTTGTCCTTTCGTGTACAAGCAAAGGGATCACATCCTAAAACTGGTAGGTGAATCCATCATACGATCGAGATGGAAGCACCTCTGCCGGGCCCATTCCACGCCTGGGAGCATCCCCATCATCATCAGACAATAGTACATCTGTTGACCTATGTATGAATATACAACATAAAAAGGGAAGCATTTAGTTAGCCTTCAACTCTTCTTCTTCCTCCCTTGAGAACTAACGGGGGATGCCGAGTGAGCTAACGGGGGATGTAGAAGGCCACATAAAGAAGAGCAGGTAAGGAGATAGAGGAAAAATGATTCTGGAGGTTTTAGTAGTCAAGGACATGGCACTATCATTGAACCTTTCAACCATGAGAGCAACATATACCATTGTCTCTATCACTCTCTTCCTGCACGTATAATTTAGCCCTGCTTTGGCTCAATACATTCTGCAATGATAAACCAACAAAGTGAGTTTTCATAAGTACATTTTGATATCCGTGAACATGCATTGGTACATACATTAATATCTAAAACCTTTAATCATAAAATGATTTGATTTGAGTACTTGAAACTCAAAGAATTTCATGAAACAATAATCTCATAAATTAAATCACTAGAAAGGTTAATTTATACGACTATTATGTATTTGTTCTTTATACTATGCTACCATACAACTTTGAAGTATGGAGAGTAACAACAACGAGCATCTGCATATATAGTTTTATGATCTTAACTTACAGTTAAATCATGGCCACATAACATAGGTCATATAAATTGAGTGATGTATAATCACATAGATTGAATTATATTTGATTTAGAAGTTAAATTATATTTGATTATATGAGTTAAGTCATATCTAACTATATAAGTTTGATTATATTTAGTTACATTTGTTAAGTCATACTTAATCATATGAATTGAATTGGATGATATCTAATTATGGGCTAACTTATGTTTGATTATGCTTGATCATACTAGCTGAGTTATAGTTAATCATATGTGCTAAGTCATAATTGTCAAATAAGTTAGACAATCCTTGATCACATATGATGAGTTATGTTTAACCACATAAGTTATATCATACTTGATCACATAGATTTAGTTATGTTTAACTACATATATTATATTATATTTGAACTATACGAATGACCAGATTGAGTAATACTTAATCACGTCAATTAGATTATACTTAATCACATAGATTGGTTTGATCAATCAACTTAACTAAGGTTAAATCTTCAATTTGACTCATACTTATTAAATTAGATTTTAATAGTTTAAAAAATATTTTTAAAATATTATAAAATAATAATTAATTATAAATATATTAATTTTCATAAATTAACTAATTTAGATTTATGTTCCAAATTTAAAAGTAATTAAATCATAAAAATTTAAACTTAATTATTTAAAACATAAATATACTTTCAATAATCATTATTTATTAATCATAAAATTATAAAATAAAAATATTATTTCTATAACATATAAATTAAAATAATTCAAATATTAAATATTTTAAAAATATAAATAAAAAAATCTACTCTCCTCGTGATCATTTCCTCTAAGAACCCTTTCCCCTCAAGCTAGGAACAACGAGGAAAGATGAGCTTGAGCTCTCCATAAAAGATAAATAATAATTTAAATATTTTTTAATAATATTATTTAAATAAAATATTAATTTAAATAAAGTAATACATGATTTAAAGTAATTAATTGATGTTAGAAAATTATGGATGATTATAAAAGTCACGACTTTATTGGATGATATGCATGATTATTAAACTAATAAATTATCTGCAGTCAATCAAGCTCACCTAACAATTACAAGATCTTTTGAATGTTGATTCTTGCAATTTGTTCACTATGTAATCAAACAGAGTAGACGAAATCCAGAATAAGCTACATGTTCCTGAAGTTTAAGAACACCTAACATCTATAAAAAGGGATGAATTGAGATGAAACATTATGAAAATGATGTTAAAGTATAACATGAAAATGCACCAAGGAAAAAAAATATATATATAATTCATCAAGAAAAATTCAGATCATAAAGGGCTTTCACATGCATGCATGGCAAACGAAAATGTTCAATTGTGGTTTAAAAAAAAAAACATAATTACCATGCAAAAAGAGAAAATAATGATTCAAGTAAAACATATATTAATAAGAGTAATTTAACTTTTAACCCACAATACCAAGCCGAATCACTACAGAGTAATAAAAACCTCACAGTTATTTTTACTATATCTTTCCTTGATTAAGAATAATATCATTAAATTTCTACCATCGATCGATAACAATGACATACTTCCCATTTGCAGGAGAGCAAAGGTCAAGAATACAAACCTGAAAAATCAAATAATTCTTTCTTAAAAAAATTAATTTAATAAGTTCTATCAACCAATAAAATTATCAAATGTAATATCATGGTTGGATATGCGGGATATGGTATAGCTTGTGGGTTGAGTCGGACAAACTAATTGATTTCAATTCAAATCATAATTAATTTTTAATTTTTAAATTATACTATCATGAAATTATAATAAAAATATCTAACCATTACCATTGTGTTATTAAAACATAATATTAACTTAAAACGTTGAATATCTATTTTATAAATTTTATTCATAAGAAAATTTTATCCATATTTTTTATATAAATAATTTATTCCTATAATTTTGTATTTCTCGTGCTTAGCGACGGGTTATACGGACTGCAGATAAAAGCGGGTTGTTTGTATTAGGGTGCCGCTGCGGCTGCTCTCTTTCGTCCCACAATGGCGGCTGCGACGCTCCGCTCCGCTCCGTGCTCCGCCGCAATAGCCTCCTGCCCTTGTTCGACACCCACCGCCTTCGAGATCTCCTCTTCTTCTCCTCCTCTGTCGACCCTACGGCCGCCGTACGGGGCACCATATCTCCAGATCCCCACTTCATGGTGAAATACCTCGTGAACTCCTGCGGGTTCTCCCCCTCCGAGGCAGCCAAGTTCTCTAAACCTCTTGCGCACCTCCGATCCACCGAGAAACCCGACGCCGTCCTTAACTTCATGAGATCTCAGGGCCTCGGTGGCGCCGTTATCAGGAAGGTGATATCTGCGGATCCCAGATACTTACGCTACAACGTGGAGAAAAACTTGGCCCCGAAGTTTCAGTTCTTACGCGATTTGGGCCTATCGGAGTCGGATATCGTCGATGCCATCCTGAAGAACCATGGCATCCTCCTCTTCAACGTTCAGCGTTCCATCGTCCCCAAATTGGAGATGTGGGAAGGTCTCTTGGGATCGAGAGAGCTCGTTCTCAAGCATCTCAAGAAGACAACGCGGTTTTTCCACTCCAGCGTTGAGAAGACATTGCATCCTAACCTAAAGTTCTTGAGGGATGAGTGCGGCATTCCTGAAGAAAGGGTCTCTGTCGTCTTGAGAAGTCACCCAAAATTAATCTCACAGAAACCAGAGTCTCTCCGAGCTTTGGTGGCGAGAGCCGATGAGCTGGGGATGCCACGGCAATCTCGGATGTTCATGTGGACAGTTAATATTATCCAGAGGGTAAGCAAAGAGAGGTTCGAGGCCAAGGTCGAGTTCATGAGGAGGTTCGGGTGGTCGGAATCGGAGTTTTCTTCTGCTGTCAGGAAAGTACCCACCTTCATAGGCATGTCCCTCGATATGTTGCGCAGAAAAGTGGAATTTTTTATCAATGTGGTCGGTTACACCCCTTCCTTCATCGCCGACAAATCATATCTCTTGCTATTTAGTCTGCAGAAGAGGGTAATTCCTCGGTTTCGTGTCACAGAGATGTTGAAATCGAAAGGATTGTGGACTGGACAAGGCAAGTTTTCATGCATTCTCACATTATCAGATACCAAATTCATTGAGAAGTTTGTTCTCCCTCACAAAGAAAATGTTCCTGAGCTGCTTGATATTTTGAGAGTTGCGGGCGTGTGTAAAGGAAAATGATACCTTTCATTTGGTATCGGATGATGAGAAAGGGCTTAGCTGATGGTCTAATTTGCCAACGACAAAGGTAGATTATTCCCCTAATTTGAGATTTTGGAAATAGAATGCAAAGGGCTTATCAAAAGGTGTATTGAGGTGTGGGATTTTTCTTTAATGGCAAGCTAGATTAGCATTGATTATAAATCAAATTTGTTCTGTCTTACTAATTGTTAGCTTAACTTATTTTCTGATTGTCTTTGGCACAGTATTGTTGCTTTGTACGTTAGCTGCATGTTTTAAAAATTCTACCTAACAGTCCAACTGAGATGACCTTCGGATCTATCGTAGGGACTTTTGGCTTTTGTCCAAATTAATACCACTTCCGGATTGGTTTTTGTTTGGGTATGTCTTGAAGAGTCATATTTCAGATCAAGTTTTGCAGTATATAGAAATTTTCACCAAAGATCACAAGAAATTGTTGAGTGGTAGTTACTCTAATGATTTAAGTGGCGAAAAAACTTAAAACACCAAAGAGTTGTTTCTGTAATTTGTTTTTAAATTAGTCATCACCCAATTTATGGATTTGGATATATCTAAGAAGGTGTTATCTCTTGTCAGTGGAGGCTTCTTTGCAAACAAAGTTATTTATTTATGTACTAATTGGAATATTCAAATTTGATTTATGCATTGTAATATTAGTATGCAGTGGCTTCAATGGAATTTGAAAGACCAGTTGCACTGGGTTGATCAGGAGTCACCAACTTTATTATCAACTTTGCTTGCAGGTTGTATGGACTTTTCTCTGATCATCAAAACTTGAGTATGCTCTCCTGAAATGTCTTCAGCCTCATTTGGAATTGCTAAAGCTTTTCCTGCATAAACAAACTCTTACCTGCCTCCTTAGGCTTCTGCTCATCCGCCCTTTGTGATTCGAGCAGCAGATCTCTTCATTCTTGGAGTTCATTCTTGGATTCGGTGGATGCAACTTCTCATCATCATAGCTGAAGCTTCTGCTCTACTTGAAAGCCTTCTGAAGGCTGCACAACTACATTTCTCCAACATCTGAATCGAACTAATTCCCTTGAGTTAGTCAATTTGCTGGTTCCTTAAGAATATTTTGGATGTCATTTTATTTCTTTGTTCAAGTATTTATGTCGTCGATGCGGTCCATGTTTCCCGCATCATGAACGACGTAAATTCTCTACGTGTTTTTGGGTCTTGTAATGATAGATCAGTCTAGCGCAGTATCTAGTCCTCTTTAATCTTTAATGAAATTTCTCTTTTTTCGGTAAAAAAAAAAAGCAAACTCTAACATGCAAACTAACATGTAAGCTCAGAAGGTTTAAAAGTGACAATTAAATATGTATTGCAAGATTCTGTAATTGGCTTTGGTTCTTGTTGTAGAGTTTATGATCATTTACATCACTAGTATTTCAGATTTTTATGCACACTATCTTGACCCGTTCTCAACCAGTATTTTTTGGGCTCTCGATGCCTTTGTGCATGTAATGCATTGTGAAGATACCACAGAATCCGCGTTTACAAACAAAGGATATGATAGATGATCACGATGTTGGCATTTATGGATTGATGTCTCCAGATTGAAATGTGGCCTGCTATAATTGATGTGGCCTGCTATTAACAGATGTTGTGACTCAGATATATAGCTTGGATGTACAGTCAAAATTTAATTAAAATATTATATAATTCATGATCTCGATCGGTAGACAATCTTTCCTTTCTTGTTTGAGGATCTCGATCGGTAGCAAAATTATGTCATTTTATACGGATTATTTTTTATATCGAGATAAAAATAATATATTAAAATATATTAATTTTTTTTAAAAATATCATTAATATCAAATAATATCAATTAATCGATCTAATTGAATTAGATTTAATTATAATCTAATTAAATTGATTTCTAATTCTCATTTAATCGATCTAAACTATCTTAGACTAATATAATTTAGATTAAATTAAGTTTAATTTATATTAAATATATTTAAATAAATCAAGTTGGTTCATAATTACCTTCAATCGATTTAAATTTATCAAATTAGATTTACCTCAATCGAACATAAATGAAATAAAATAAAGGTAATAAGTTAAACTATATAGCAATATGATAGGTTAAGCTAGGCAATGTAGCATTACAAATAATTATACATGCACCGTACGAAAATTATGTTAGCTTATGGTACCAAAGTAATATGATGTGTATGACACATGATTGTCAATCGAATTGAACGACTAGTTGGCTTAATCAGTTGGTTGAGTCTAATATACTGGTTGTGGTTTAACCTATGGATAGAACTTGATTTGTTAAGCAGATTTTAACCTAAATATTAATTATTTTTTTTAATTTTAAATTATAGCATCACAAAATTATAATCAAAACACCTAACTATTATTATTGGGTCATTAAACATAATAAATTAAAAAATAAAAAATTACATTGAAGGGAAAATAATATTTTTCCTCAACTATTATACAAATCTAATAGAAATTGAATATTACAACTAGTATGATGGATGGAAGAAAAAAACTTTAAAAATTATTATAGTATGAATAATTATAATATATTATAATCCAAAAGTAAATATTTAAATATTTGGAGGAATATAAAAAAATTTAGAAATTATATATAGCATGAATAATTATAAAAATATTTTAATCAAAAAATAAAAATTTAAGAACTTGAATGAATAGAAGAAAATATTAGAAACTATATATAGTATAAATAATTATAATATATTTTAATCAAAAAATAAAATTTTAAACACTTAAAGATATTAAAAATATTTATTTAAAAAAAATATACTTGCGTCTACCCCTCTTATTCAGATTTGACCTAATGAAAAATGAAAGAAATGAATCACCCTAAGAAGAGGTAAGCCTTCCAAGGTAATAATTTTTTTAATATTTATATTTATTTAATTAATTGATAAAAATAATATCACTTAATTTAAAAATATTGAATATTTATTTTATAAATTTTATTCATAAGAAAAGAAAGTAAATAATTATACTTCAACTTAAAGATGTAAGTACAGATGAAACGGTCAAATTAGTATCTTAAGGTCATTTTATCCATATTTTTTATATAGATAATTTATTCCTATAATTTTTGTGTTTCTTGTGCATAGCGAAGCTTATACACACTACCTATAAGGACGGTTGTAGTGATTAGGGTGCCGCTGCGGCCGCTCTCTTTTGTCCCATAATGGCGGCTGCGAGGCTCCGCACCGGGCTCCGCCGCAAGAGCCTTCTGCCCTTGTTCGAAACCTGCCGCCTTCGAGATATCCTCTTCTTCTCCTCCTCTGTCAACGCTGCCGCCGCCGTAGGCGGCACCATATCACCAGATCCCCACTTCATGGTGGAATACCTCGTCAACTCCTGCGGGTTCTCCTCCTCCGAGGCAGCCAAGTTCTCTAAACCCCTTGTGCACCTCCGATCCACCAAGAACCCCGACGCCGTCCTTAACTTCATGAGATCTCAGGGCTTCGATGGCGCCGGTATCAGGAAGCTGATATCTGGGGATCCCAGATACTTATGCTACAACGTGGAGAAGAACCTCGCCCCGAAGTTTCAGTTCTTACGCGATTTGGGCCTATCGGAGTCGGACGTCGTCGATGTCATCCGGAATAACGAGGAAATCCTCTGCCGCAACGTTCACCGTTTCCTCGTCCCCAAATTGGAGATATGGGAAAGTCTCATGGGATCGAGAGAGCTCGTTCTCAAGCATCTCAAGAAGTCACGCAGGTTTTTCTTCTCCAGCGCTGAGAAGACATTGTATCCTAACCTAAAGTTCTTGAGGGATGAGTGCGGCATTCCTGAAGAAAGGGTCTCTGTCGTCTTGAGAAGTTGCCCACAATTAATCTCACTGAAACCAGAGTCTCTCCGAGCTTTGGTGGTGAGAGCCGATGAGCTGGGGATGCCACGGCAATCTCGGATGTTCATGTGGACCCTTTATGTTTTCCACAACGTAAGCAAAGAAAGGTTCGAGGCCAAGGTTGAGCTCATGAGGAGCTTCGGGTGGTCGGAGTCGGAGTTTTCTTCTGCAGTCAGGAAAAATCCCAACTTCTTATCCATGTCCCTCGATATGTTGCGCAGAAAAGTGGTATTTTTTATCAATATAGTCGGGTACACCCCTTCCTTCATCGCCTCCCAACCAACTATCTTGCTATATAGTCTGCAGAAGAGGGTCATTCCTCGGTTTCATGTGACGGAGATGTTGAAATCGAAAGGATTGTGGACTGGACAATGCAAGTTTACATCGATTATCGTATTCTCAGATACCAAATTCATGGAGACGTTTGTTCTCCCTCACAAAGAAAATGTTCCTGAGCTGCTTGATATTTTGAGAGCTGCTGGCACCTGTAAAGGTAATGATACCTTTCATTTGGCATCGGAGGATGAGAAAGGGCTTAGCTGATGGTCTGATTTGCCAACGACGAAGGTAGATTATTCCCCTAATTTGAGATTTTGGAAATTTTATGCAAAGAGCTTATCTAAAGGTGTATTGAGGTGTGGGATATTTCTTTTATGACAAGCTAGATTAGCATTGATTAGAAATCAAATTTGTTCTGTCTTACTGATTGTTAGCTTAAACTATTTTCTGATTGTCTTTGGCATAGGATTCTTTGTTTGTACGTAAACTGCATGTTTTAAAAATTCAGCTTAACAGTCCAACTGAGATGACCTTCGGATCTAATGTAGGGACTTTTGGATTTTGTCCAAATTAATTCCAATTCCCGAAGTGTTTTTGGCTGTTGGGTAAGTCTCAAAGATTCATTCATATTTCAGATCAAGTTATGCAGTAAGTATATACAAAATATCACCGAAGATCACAAGAAGTTGCTGAGTAGTAGTTGCTCTAACGATTTAAGTGGCTGAAAAACACTTAAACTTCTTTGCAAACTTATTTATTTATGTACTAATTGGATTATTCAAATTTGATTGATGCATTGTAATATTAGTATGCAGTGGCTTCAATGGAATTTGAAAGACCAGTTGCACTGGGTTGATCAGGAGTCACCAGCTCTTCTGAAATGTCTTCAACCTCCTTTGGAATTGCTAAAGCTTTTCTCGCATCAACAAACTCTTGCATGCCTCCATAGGCTTCTGCTCGTCCACCCTTTGTGATTCCAGCAACAGATCTCTTCATTCTTGGAGTTCATTCTTGGATTCGGTGGATGCAACTTCTCATCATCATAGCTGAAGCTTCTGCTCTACTTGAAAGCCTTCTGAAGGCTGCACAACTACATTTCTCCAACATCTGAATCGAACTAATTCCCTTGAGTTAGTCGATTTGCTGGTTCCTTAAGAATATTTTGGATGCCATTTTATTTGTTTGTTCAAGTATTTATGTTGTCGATGTGGTCCATGTTTCCCGCATCATGAACGGCGTGGCCCATTGGCTAGTCAATCTCGGAAGGACTGTAAATTCTCTATATTTTTTTGGGTCTTGTAATGATAGATCAGTCTAGCTCAGTATCTAATCCACTTTAATCTTTAATGAAATCTCTCCCTTTTTGGTATAAAAAAAAAACTCTAACATGCAAACTAACATGTAAGATCAGAAGGTTTAAAAGTGACAATTAAATGTGTATTGCATGATCCTGTAATTGGCTTTAGTTCTTTTTGTAGAGTTTATGATCATTTACATCTCTAGTATTTCAGATTTATTCCCACCATCTTGACCCGTTCTCAACCAGTTTTTTTTTGCCTATCCGTGCCTTTTTGCATGTATTCAGTATCTCATTTCAGATAGGATCATTAGATCATCGCTCATCTTTATCAATGCGTGAAATGTGTTTTGGATTTTGATATCAGTTGTTCCATCTTTATTCTTTATTCTTTATGTCTTGGATAATAACGTCCCAAATCTTTATGTCAACACAAATCTCAATTTTGGGAAGAGAGACATCAATGAAATGAATATATGGAAGGAACTGAGAAAAATAGAATTCATAAATTTAAATAAGACAAGTAATCAAAGCAAAATTATGCACTTATATATCATGTTAATGAACCGATGCAACGTGAACATACATCAACATATGCATTTTCAAACAAGGATAGGGTATTTATGGATGGATGATCACGAAGTTGGCGTGTATAGATTGATGTCTCCAGATTGAAATGTGGCCTATATTGATGTACGGTCAATTTAATTAAATATCATATAATCCATGATCAAATTCAATCTTGATTTTTTTTGAATTTTTACGAGTCATAAATACTATTCAAGGCATATTAATTCAAACAAAAGAAATCAAGTTTTAAAGGATTATAGGATTGTTTTTTTTTCAAATCTGGTGCAGCAATAAATTATTTTTGGATCAAATAAATGAATAGTTTTATTTTAAAAAAAAATACAAAATTATATAAATATTTTGTAGATCATTTTATCCATAATTTTGATATAAATAATTTATTCCTATAATTTTAATCTCTCATATATAGTGAATGATAGTTGTTGAAATTATGATACTCCTATGGTTCTCCTTTATTCTTAAATGATTGTCGCAAAGCTTGTCTTCCTCCTTAGTCATTATAACTTCCTATCCCTATTTGAAACCTATCGCTTTTGAGGTCTTTTTTTTTTTTTTCTTACTTCATCACCGATTGATTGTGATCATGTTCTATCAAATTAGTTGAAAAGATAAGGATGATTGAAGATGAACTCAATGTTTAATAAGAAGAAGTGAACTGCATTATGGAACTACGACTCAATTGCGTCTCATGTCCTGTTGTGTACAAGCAAAAGGATGACCTCCTCAAACTGATGGGTGAATCCAACAGACGATCGAGATGGAAGCACCTCTATCGGGCGCATTCCACGCCAGGAAGCATCCCCATCATCATCATACAATAGTACATATGTTGACCTATTTACGAGTGTACAACATGAAAAGGGAAGCTCTTCTCTTCTTCTTCCTCTCTTAAGAACTAACGGGGGATGCCGAGTGAGCTAACGGGGGATGCAGAAGGCCACATAAAGAAGAGCAGCTAAGGAGATAGAGGAAGAATGATTCTGGAGGTCTTAACAGTCAAGGACATGGCGCTATAATTGAACCTTTTAGTCATGAGAGCAACATATATCATTGTCTTTATCACACTTTCTTCCCCCACATATAATTTAGCCCTGCTTTGTCTCAATGCAGTCTGCAATAACAAACCAACGAAGTGAGTTTTCATAGGTACATTTTGACATCAGCATTTGATCAGATCCGTGAACATGCATTAGTACGTACATTAATATCTAAAACATTTAATCATATAATGTATTGATTTGAGTACCTGAAACTCAAAAAAATTTCATGAAATAATAATCTCATAAATTAAATAACTAGAAAGGTTAATTTCATACAACTACTGTACATCTGTTCTTCATATGCTATCATACAACTTTAATGTATATATATATATATATATATATATATATATATATATA